GCGTTAACACTATTTACACGAGTTGTGTACACTACTTTACCTATGACAGTTTTTAATTACTACTAACCACTACTCAAAACTTCTAAGAGAGGTATTGTTTGTTGTTGTGTAATGGTGTATGTTTTCGTTTATAACCTCCCATTGCCACATTGATGAAACGACTTATTGTACCAATCACTAATTGCACCAACCGTTAACAATTAAATTGTTAAACAGCTGATTAGTTGAATCTCGAAGCATTTCAATTTTAATTCTTTACTCTCAACCATTGAAACTCATTGCGTTATCAGTGTTGTTAAGTAATTAACACAATGCTGTTAAGTAAGGGGACAAAGCTGTTAAGTGAATCTTTTCAATTCTATTGAACTAAACTGAAACGGCTAGTTTAAAAAACGGTCGTAGATAAAAACGTTAACAACTTTTGGCAGCCTATCTGTTTTTTTTTTAGGAACCTAGGACAAAGGTTATAATTTTGAATAATAAGTTATGAAACAGTCAAACTTTTGGTTTATCGTAATGGGCAAAAACTATTTGTATGTTATGAATGCAAATATAGTAGAAAAACAATACCATTTAAAAACATGAAAACATATTTTATTAAATACCGATTTTTGCATAGTATCTCATACACAATCATACTTATGGTCTTGAGATACAAAGAGAGTCTAACTCGATCGACGAAGCTGGAAGGGTGCAAACTGGTGGACAACTGAGTACAAAGGGAATAAATGTCGCCATTTGACTCTGTTGCAATAAATAAAGTCCATCTCTGCTCCTTCCCCTCAACACTGGTCTCTAAAGTAATTCCCAACTGCTGCGTCGTGTTGTACGCTTGGTACTAAAGTGTTGTACACTGGAAATTATGATCTTAGACACTGAATATTAAGTTGTTGTACACTCGAAACTATGATGTTAGACACTGAATAGTAAATTGTTGTACACTGGAAACTATGATGTTAGACACTGAATAGGTAAGTGCTGTACACTGAAAACTATGATGTTAGACACTGAATAGTAAATTGTCGTACACTGGAAACTATGATGTTAGACACTGACTAGTTAAGTGTTGTACACTGGAAACGATAGTGTTAGCCACTGGGTAGTAAATTATTGTACACTGGAAACTATGATGTTAGACACAGAATAGTTAATTGTTGTACACTAACAACTAAATAATTGTACACTAGGAACTGGGAACAATCTAGTTTTCCTCTGGAAACTGAAGTGTCATCAGATACTTAAGTGATGGCAGAGGATATTGTTGTGCCATACACTGGATACTAAGTAGTTAAGCCTTGAATAGTACTGAGTTGTACAATGGTCACTAAAGGGTCCACTCTGGATATAAAGGTTACCGGATATAAAGTGGATATAAAGGGTTGTACTTGTGTAATTAAGTGTTTTATGCAGGAAACTGAAGTGTTAAACTTTGGATACTACAGTGATATGTATTCTAATTATTTGATGTGTGGATGTTATTGTGATTTACCGAATAACTGAAAACAAATGTGCTTAGCAGATGATAAAAGTTGTAAATTGACGAATTCACTTCCTTAAAAATTAATATAAAAGCCTCATATATAAGGATGTTAATGTTTACAGTGCACTAAGGTTTTACATTTGGATATTAATTTGCTTGCTACTAGTTTTATATTTCATCACTAACGATTTGAGGTCTTCTCATAGGTAATCCGCTTGCAAACCTCATATATTTGTTTGCATTTAGATAATACACGATTTTATTTTAAATTTGCGTGGTAAGTAGTATCACATACCGCTAACCTTATACCCAATGAACTATCAGGATTAATTTATTATTTTATAATGGTACTATATTCAGGGCAGGAATATAAGTAAAATGGAACTTAAGTCCTGTCAAATATCGGTTACTCTTTACTATAACTCGTAGGGAACCATTATAAGACCAATACGCCAGCTCGAGAATATGTTATTTTTAATCAACTACAAAATTATATAATATTTTATGTGCTATTCGCCTGTAATGTGATCTATGTTTAAATAACAATGGTTGATAAAAGTTTCCTAAATAGATCTGTGTAAAATGTAAGGCAGTAAAACTTGTTTGCAGTTTTCTCTAACCAGTAAATCTGGAAGAATCCCCAACCAGTCATTACTAGTGACTTCATTACAGTTGGAATTGAATTCGTATTTATTTCAAATCAATAGCTTCCATAACCTCTTCTTTTTTATCTTTTATACATTTTCCTACAATACTTTGTTCTAGTATTTTTGTTTCTTTGATTAAATGCTATGTAACACATGCTAAATAATAGTTAACCAAAAATGAGTATACCTTTTTAAATTAAGGTATAACTGTTGTAAAAACGTTTATTGGTGTAAATCTGAAAAAAATATTGTCTCGTAAACCTTACACGAGAATACTATTTTAAAACCATATGAATACAAAATATGAATAAATTACGAAATATTTTAATAGTCACATTGCTTCTAATATTAATAATAGATTTTTAATTTTTAATTTTAAAGTGTGTCAATACCTAGATAAAACCGCATGGAACTTATCAAAATATAGAAATATTCCGTGAATGATATTCCATGGATATTCCATAACGAATGAATGTTTAATAATTGGTTGATTTTACTAAATATTGTTTTCTGTTATTTTATGTGTTTTCAGGATATCAAACATAGTACAGCAGTAGGATAAGCAAAAAGTAATTTTAACAAATTAAAAAGTAATTTTAAAGAACTTAATAGGTAAAAATACTGATATTGTACAATTTTGCTAACTACATTGTAAGCCAGCTTGCATCATTGTTTAGAACATCAGTAGGATAAACTTATTGCTAGTGTGATAAAAAAAATGTTTAATGTCTATTCTGAAATAACTATTCAAAACGATATGCCAGATTGTCAAATAATTCAATACGGAAGGTCAAATTATGAGTGACTATTTTTTTTTTACCGTGATTAAATTATATTTTAGAATAACAAAAAGTAGTTGTAAACTGATATTTTGTTATCCTCAAAATATGTTCTACTATTGAAGTATTTAGTCGTTCTTTCTTCATACTTGATAACAATTGATGAAATAAAATTGCAAGACATTCTTGAGCCTTGTTATTCCCCTTGTTAAGGCACAGAGAACACTTCAACATTGGTTGTTCAACAAGTTGTTCAAGGACTTCACCATAACCTCGCATTGTTCTCGTTATCTCTTCGTTAGATGTGCTCTTGTGTTCAAGTTTATACATTTCTCTAATTTTTTCTGAAAAAAAGCTTTTTTGTGCTCCAAGTGACGCTAAAATGACGATGAATGAAAAAAAAAAATATTATGTTCAGTAGTAGAACAAATATGCCTACTTTTTGGGTGCTGAAAATCGTTTCACTCATTTAAGGCGATTTTTTAGAACTTCAAAACTATGTTTTTTCCAGCAGTTTTATTAAGATTAAAGTTTGCGTATGGAAATGTAGGTAAACACTCCTGCATAATGGATTCTCTTTAAATGTGTTTCAACAGGTGTACCCGTGCAAAAAATGAACCTCTTTACCAGTTTGAAGTCTGTTATCTAAAACTCCATTATGTAAATAATATAAATTATGATTAATCCCCTGAATAATGTGGTAGATTTAAAGTATTGCCCGATGCTCAATAGTAACTTCTTAAAACAACTTTAGTAAATAACGTATTCTGTTTTTACGAAGTCCATTAACGATTTGTACGTAACTTTGTAAATTCCTGTTGAGTTGAATACTTAAAAAATGGTATTGCATTCAAATGGTACCTCATGATACGAAAATAATATCTTGATTCCTCTCATAAGCAGTTTTTTTATTGCAGGATTCAAATTTTATTGCAATTCCGTTCTTAAGTAACAATTTAGAACTTAAGCAACCAAGGGTGAATTGTCTAATAAATTAGAAACAGTACAGAGGGTGCTGGAATTAGCCTGACATCTAGGCACAAAAGGAATAAATGTCCCCCTATTGACCTCATAACCATAAATATAAAGGGCAGTACAGATTGTCTCTGTTCGACAGTACTTTCCCCGGTTTCTTAGATTCAAAACATAACAAAATTACAAGGAAATGTACATTCCGAATTTAATCTTAAGACAATTTTTGAGTAATTGTAAGTCCAGTTTAAATTCGAATGATTACGTGCAAAGTTTCACCATAAGTTTTTTTAAATTCAAAAACCCCTAGTTTAATTTAGGATTGCGTTCTTTTGTTGGTAGTTTGTGTAACAGACAAGATGGGCTACATTTTAAATTGAAGAAATAAAATACATTAAAATATATAACGTAGACATACATGGATTATTTAAAAAATCCTGTTTTTTCTCGTAAAAAAAACAATGACTTATTAGTAAAATTGTGCATAGTGTGAACATGCAAATATAGTTTTGCGCCATTGAAATGTCATACAGATTGTAGGCCACACACGGATAACGTGAGTCAAATTTGATTGTTCACAAGTATTGTAAGTCAAATATTATGTCAACATGGTGACATTTACATCAGTTGAAAGCCCAAAGCAGTAGTCGCAGGGGAAAAAAATCCTTGAAAATTGAGAACAGGTTATGGCAATAGTGCATTTACTACACTCTAGAAGTAAATATTCTTCAAAATTTCAGATATTAAACTAACTAACGCGAGGAGTACAAAAGTGTTGCCAACTTAACGATTGGTCAACGCTGGCGGACCCAGTAGAGATATATAGAGACATTTTGCCAGCATTGCGGCGCTCCTAAGTGTTGACCATGTCGTCTTACAGGTTTAACAATCTAAAATCGTACATTTGTTTATTTAAGAACTCCTTATACCAGGTTGGTAATTTTTAAGGTAAAAATTTCTATAACTTAATGCCAAAAAGGTAATATGATTTGGTTTCTGTAACTTGACGATTTAGGTAGTTTGGATTGATATACTTATGTGATTGTATTCGTGGTTTTATCATTTTGTTTGTATCAATATTTTTTTTGATGGCCTGAACTAAGAATGGGTTTATTATTTCAGTACATGGGGTCAATACCAGTGGCAGGCCCAGATCAGAGCAAGAGAGCGGACTTTGTGAGATCAAAGCTGGAGAGACTAAGGGTGAGTTTTTTACTATTAATTTACCACAATGAGATTTTTATAGACATGTAATGCATGTAGATATTTTCATTTCCAATTAAGAATTTGGACGACACGTATTAATATTATTAGGTAAATATATGATTGCAAAAACTATCAAACAAAAGCTAGTCTAGAACAGTGCGGTGTCGCAAAATATATGCAACCGATCTATTAATACCTATTATTGCTGTTTTTCTTATTTTTTATTTGTAAACGTTGAGATACTTTTTAGAGCAAGTAAGACATATTTTGAATTCCGCAGGCTCGAGATAGTTATTTTAAGTTCGAGACGAGTAGCAAAACCATTTCGGTCCGGATGGTATAATGCACACAAACAGAATGCTTACAGTTAATACAAACTACAACTTAGGTTAATATGTGAAGAAATAGTTTGAGGAATCAGCGAAAATTATAATAAACAAAAACTGTTTCACTTATGATATACAGGGTGTCCCGGAACTCTCTACCAATATTTTAGGGCATTGCTCCTGGGTAAGAAACATACCTAAATATCATATTTAAATTGTCCGGAAGTCCTTAGTTACTCACACAGCCGCCATTTTGTTTTTTCAGTTATTAATTTTTTTCTAAAGAATGGTTAAACTTACGAAATTGAAACTTTGCACAAACATTAATGAGTACTAGACAAAGCTACCAAAAAATTATGACGATTTTTCCAATTCATAAAACAAAATGGCGGCCATTTAAAATTGTTGTAAAATCAATGGTTTTTGAGTTATTTAAGAAACAAAATTTTTAATGGCCGCCATTTTGTTTTATGAATTGGAACAATCGTCATAATTTTTTGGTAGCTTTGTCTAGTTGTCATTAATGTTTGTGCAAAGTTTCAATTTCGTAAGTTTAACCATTCTTTAGAAAAAAAATAATAACTGAAAAAAACAAAATGGCGGCTGTGTGAGTAACTAAGGACTTCCGGACAATTTAAATATGATATTTAGGTATGTTTCTTACCCAAGAGCAATGCCCTAAAATATTGGTAAAGAGTTCTGGGACACCCTGTATATAGATAGTTGCTAGGCAGCAGTAAAAATAAAACAGGTATATTGAAATGCTATGGATGCTCTGATTGTTTATTTAATAAACATTATTGATTTAATAAAGTAAGTGAACAGCTGATTTTTGGCCCTAGGGATAAAAGAACCTGCTCGGTCCCCAAATGACGATACCAGCTGGCATGGACAGCAGTACGTAGTTTACGGCCTCCAATAAAAATTTGTAAAACGGCTAAAACATCGTAGTGTCGCGAAAAATATTTTACCTACGACCGTTTTTTAAAGTAGCCATTTCAGTCCAGTTCTTAGAATTGAAAAGTTTCACTTTACAGCTGTTTACTTTCATATCCGCATAGTTTCATTTCATATCCGCATAGTTTTCTCATATCCACACTGGTAACGGACCAATGAGGTTCAAGTATTGAGAGAAAAGAATTAAAATTGTAATGCTTCGAACGTCAACTAATCAGCTGATCAGCTGATCAGTTGACCAATTTAATTGTTGATCCGACTTGTTCATGTTGATACTCGCGTATTCTTAATTAAGTTGGTGGAAGTCCAAAAATAAATTAAATATTTGCCGAATTGTACCTGATACAATATTATTTATGGTAAGAATGCTGCTAGCAATGTAATATTTAACGAAGTTTAACAAACACGTAATTACAGGAAATCAACTGATTATACAACAAGTCGTTGCATCACTTTCAGTGGCAATGACAATACACGAAAACATAACCTCTCTAAAAAGTTATCAGTAGTGATTGTTAGTAATTAAATCCAGATTGATAGTAATTAAAAAACGGTCGTAGGTAAAGTAGTGTACGCAACTCGCGTTAATAGTCTTTACGACACTCGTAGAAGTTTTTAAGGCACTCGCCAAGGCTCGTGCCTTAAATTTTCTACTCGTGTCGTAAAGACTCACTTAACGCAATCGTTGCGTAAACTACTATATCTAATCTCACTCGGTACTTGAAATTCAGTACTTGAATATATTTTTAATTTTTTAAGTTAATCAAATAACGTCGTATATATTGTAAGTTAAATAGTCAACTAATATTTAACGAAGTTTAACAAACACGTAATTACAGGAAATCAACTGATTATACAACAAGTCGTTGCATCACTTTCAGTGGCAATGACAATACACGAAAACATAACCTCTCTAAAAAGTTATCAGTAGTGATTGTTAGTAATTAAATCCAGATTGATAGTAATTAAAAAACGGTCGTAGGTAAAGTAGTGTACGCAACTCGCGTTAATAGTCTTTACGACACTCGTAGAAGTTTTTAAGGCACTCGCCAAGGCTCGTGCCTTAAATTTTCTACTCGTGTCGTAAAGACTCACTTAACGCAATCGTTGCGTAAACTACTATATCTAATCTCACTCGGTACTTGAAATTCAGTACTTGAATATATTTTTAATTTTTTAAGTTAATCAAATAACGTCGTATATATTGTAAGTTAAATAGTTAATAATTATGATTGAAATACCATACAAAAATAATAATACTCCCTCACTTAAGAAAACAAATCGGAATCCTCACACTCTTGTACAAACGCAATTCTACTGTCACAGATGAATTTTCTCTCGAAACGCAAAAAGAAATATTGCCAGATTATTCATCGGCTTTCTGTATCGTAACGAATTGCTCATCGCACTGACGAGGTTTTGCCTCCCCCAACCCCCTCACCAACAACAAAACATTTACATGATAACGACCGACAGAATTACAACATTTTCATAAATTTAAATTTCAAAGAACGCTGTTTTAGCTTTTTGTTGTTTACGCTTTGCCATATTGAGTTTTTGCAGAAAACTCAAGTTTGACAACTTTAACTGAATTGGTTCTAAGCACAAAGTAGGCCTATGTTTAATATAATTCTCCACAAAGTTTTTCCAAGTGAAAAGCATTTTGAGCATATGAATAGTATATTTCATCACTAGGGCCTAAAGTGACTCTTTTTGATTCGAGGTCAAGTTCTATAATCTAGGCGAAACCGAAGTAGGAAAATGGACAAAGGTTAAAATGACACTTTTTGTCCGTGTGGTGAACTATATTTTTTTTGTCTTATTGCATCATTAAAGATAACCTTTCAAAACGACATTCAATTCTACTAATGCAAATCATTATACATCGATGATGCAAATAAGAAGCTGTTTAAGAAGTGATTTAAATATAGTTGTGTTACAGTTCATTAGACTATCGATATGTCGAACAATCGACAACAATGGGCTAAACGCTTACCTTATAAATTAATCGTTAAATGATTTCGATCGTTACGATTACCACTATCAAAATTTACAACTGTTTACAACAGCTGATTATTACTCCCTAGGTACTAACAATGATTTTTAAACCCTAAGAGAGTAAAAATGCTACTTTAGACCCGCAATGCATGCATTAAAAACTGCTTAATAACTTGGGGACCGAGCTGGTCTAGTGGTTTGAGCGCGGGACTCCGGTTCCTGGGGCCCGGGTTCAAATCCCGCCAAATCACCAAATGGATTTTATCCAGTTATAATGCCGCAACCCCTAGGTCTAGCCTGAATTAATGTGAAAAACAATTCCGAGCTCGTGCCTAGCGTCTTAGGACAAAAAAAGGCAAAAAAGTTATCATTTATTGCGAAAGAAGTGTGCCATATTGGACTAAGTTATTTGTGTAAAATTGTAACAAAGATAAAAGATAGTCACATTATTTGAAGATCATAGAAGCGGTAACCAAGTGCATCAGTTACACCTACTCAAATCTCCAACAACTTACTGAATCAACTATTCCATACCGCATGTTTCTTCCTGTTTTAAACCGCATGTTAGGTTCTACATTCAAAATATAAGATTGCAGAACATTCTAGTCACTTTTAATCAATTCATGAAAAACTCAGTCATATTATTTTGATTATTGTCCTTGTTTAGACTAAATCCATATCGGAAAAGTAAATTTCATTTAGGCCTATTGTTACTGTAATTTATCAAGTAATATTGAGGTAAATGACTATGGTAGTACCCCGAATTCATAGTTATATTTTTTTTAATTTGAATTTATCACGTAATATCTTTTTCAGAAACTTTTAAATTTCTTAAAAGAGTAATGGACGCGAATAGGAATGAGCTTATGGGCGTTACATGCCTGTGAGTAGACAGTGACATACTGAGACTATAGCATCAACAAGGAATTATATTTCGTATATTTCTTTTGCTAAGGCTCATTATTATTATGTTCTAAGTAAATTTTGCAATTTGAATAAACCTTCACTTTCGTTATAATTCGTACAAACATGTGTTGTCTACTTGGGTTTCACATTTAACGAATGTTCGGGCCTATTGACGCTTCAAAACGCTGATTCCCATGTTTTTAAGCGAATTAAGGTTTTCATTTGGTATAACTATACTCAACTAGCTGTACCCGCCAGGGCTACAGATATCCGCGGGCTTTGCCCCGTTTAACTTCACAAGTGAGTTCGTTCGCATGGCTCAATCACGTCCTGGTTGAAGTTCGTTCGCTACGCTCACTCAACTTTATGTTGGAGCTTGTTCGCTCCGCTCACTTGCCTTCAGGTTAGCTCGTTCGCTACGCTAACTCGCTTCCAGGTTGAAGTTCGTTCGCTACGCTCACTCACCTTTTGGTTGAAAATTGGCTGTTGTCATAAATTAAAAAAAAAATAATAGTGCTGCGCCCTGTTGGTAATCCTTGTAACTTTAATGCTATTGAACATCATAGAACAGAACCAACTTGTTTAATTGAAACAGCTGTTAAGAAATTCCTTTTAAATATGAAAAAAATCAAAAGGTTGATATGGAAAACTCCAGAGACACTGGGGCGGAGCCCGAAAGCCCGATCAGAATAAAAACTACTTAGTTTTCCTATTTAATGCCCAAAGAATCGGTGTACCGAATTTCAGCCTCCTAGGTAAATGGGAAGTGGGAGAATTAGTGATGAGTGAGTGAGTGAGTGAGTCAGTCAG